CGAGTATGTCCTGTTCTGCTGAAGTAGTTCTCAATGTCTTCTTTTGTAACTATCTTTATGGGTTGCGATAAAACCACAGTGAAAGCAACTGTGGAGTTACATTCAACCAAAAGTGAGCTTATAAAATACTACGCTGTATCCTCAACAGCCAAGTACCTTGACTACGGCCCTGTCAGGCTGTCCAGGGAACAGCAGAATGCAACTACAGAGACTTTTGAACTTCTTCAGAGAGTGGCAAGATTGACGAGGTGTGTATACAGAAAACAAGGGGCAGATTTTTGAGGGGTATTAATGGCAATGTATCTCTGACTGTAATACCTTTTAAAAATGTAAACATTCAATGTAGTTTTTTTGTACTGGTTATTTTTTTCATAGTTTTATTGAAAAATAAATATCAATTAGATAATTTCAAATCAAATTGGTAGGACAGTTCCAATAATTAACACATTGCATATTGTCTTCCCAGTATTTATTTGTTGTACAAGATGCAGACATGGTATCCAATTTACAGACACTATTAGAACAAATCCCTCTATTCATTGAATTAAGAAAATGTAGCTATAAATCTGTCCTAACCATTTTGAATACACAGATTCAAAATGATCATTTTGAATACACAGATTCAAAATGGTCATTCATCTGTATCCCCTTTTTGTTTAGTTCCATCATTTGAATATTATAGGTGTGTGAACTCAGCAAAATATTCCAAAATAGTCCAGTAGTCCATAATAGTATTGAGTCTTCTGCTTGACTGGCAATGTCAGAAATTGTTGACCTGAGTCCCCTACAGCTCCACATAACAGCATGACTTTACTTCTTATACTTCATTTTTATGCTTTTCTGCTGGATAGTTAAGACCAAGATAAAGCAAGACCTATGCAACAAGTTTTTGATCACACCTAGTAATGATGTTCTTCCAAGAGGAAAGTAAATCACTAGTACTTCATGACATTCAATCATCTCACATTTAATGAAAATGATCTTTTTTATTTGAGGATACTATAGTTCTTTGTGAACCAAGTATCTTGTACACTTCACTATAGAAGTTACAATTGCAACTGTGGTAGGGAAGTCTCTTTTGACTAGAAAATCTTCTAGTAGAAAATAATACATTCAGGTGTTTTCATTCTCAATACAAATTAGAGAAAACAAGATCTACAACTGTATGATCAACATATCTTATTTTTGGTTGTTGCAGGGTTGCTTCTCTCAAAAAGCAGACACATATTTTATGCTGATTGACAACTGCAAGATGAATTGAAGTCTTACACTTGCAGCATCACCAAGGAGAGAGTCAGGACACAAATTGTGTTTAAAGAGAAAAGAGTGAAGCTCAAATTGGTGTGATGAAATCTGAGTTGACTCAGATTGGATCAGGAATCTTAGAACCACAAGGTTTTCTAAGAATTTCCTGTGAGTAGAAACAGTTTCCTGAATGTGACAAAATTCTTCCTTCCATTTCTGGATTAAGATTCTCCAGCAGTTACTGGAGAAAGACCCCTAAAAAAAAAGCAAAAACCAAGATGCTGACTGAGAGAAATGATAATAAAAGAAGAAAGTTATAAATACAAACTACACCCATGTAACTAATTGCAGAAATGGGGGCTGTAATAGCTATGCATATTTTTTGCAGATCAACATATCCATAGATAGAGAAATAGTTATATTTTTATACAGATACACATATATATATGTGTTTATTGATGTTTATTTATTTTACGTTACTGCTCTTTGACTCTCTTCTCTGTCCCCTTAATTCTTTTATTTAATTTTTTTAAAATTTCAGGACAGGGTCTACATGGTCTCATTGCATAGATCGGACTTTTAGTGATCCTCCCATTTATAGCCTTCCAAGAGGTGGTATTACAGGCATGTGTCACCACGCCCAGTCTCACTCACCCTCTCAGCATGCTGCAGGGACAGGGTTGGCAGGGCAGGTCTGGGGATCAAACTCCTGGCCCCTGCATCTGCCTAAGTAGGCGCTTTAACCCACTGAGCTATATTGCCCTGCCCTTTCTTTCAATTTTTAAAATTTTTATTAGCACGTGTCAATACATAATGGTTGAGCCGTGAATTGTTATAGGTACATCGCATACCTTTTTCCTCCCTGCTATCCCTCCCTAAATTCTTTTATAATAATTATTCTTTAAAATACTGGCCATCCTCACTACTGAATCTTGAGGAAACAGAGTGTCAAGATGAGACCATGATTGTACCAAGACAAATAGCGTCGCTTAGAAATGCGATTGCTGTCTAGAGAGACACACAATGACTTTGAGAAGTTCATGCATGTCTCCTCTGGAAAAATGATATGGTTAATTTGGTTCATATGAAAATTAATCATAACTTATTGTGAAACAGTATAAATGTATACTGAAGTATACATTTGTGTGTGTACGTGTGTGCATGTGTGTGTTAATAAATAACCATAGGGATAAATCATGCCAGTAAGCAATTATCTGTCAGCTCCATATCCAGCCTTCTATATTCTATGTTGTGATGCTGAGCTGAAATTCTGATATTTATTTTTCCTCTGCCAGGAGACTTCTTTTCTCCCAACAGAAAACTCTTGAGTGGCAGATGAGGAGGAAGGGCAGGCATTTGGTTCATTCCATTGCCCTCTTATGCTGCTCAGTGACAGTTCCATCCTTGGGCACAGTTGGCTTCAGCCTGCAGGTTTTCACCTTCTCAAAGCCAGCCTGGTTCTCCCCAGCCAAAGCTCTCAGTTTTAGCCAAACAGCCCACTTCAGGAGTCTGCTCCCACATACGCAGGAGTCTTCTTTGGGGCTCCTGAGAATGCAGTAGTCTTGTGTCTGAGCCTCAGCCCTGGATAGCATATTCTCCCATGAGCTGAGCTACCACAGTCAGCCAGGAGCCCCCTTGTCATTTAAGGTGTGATTTCCAGCTCTGGGAATTTCCTGGTCAGGAAAGCTGAGCTACTGTCATTGTCCAGGTGGTGTCTTTTCTTCAAATGACAGAGTCAGAGCCAAATCTTTCTGTCCAAATGCCTAGATTGTATGAAACTTATCTCCCCACTGGTGTCTGCTTCTTAAAGTTACCTTATTTATGTGATTAGCTTAGCAGTCCTTTCTGGTTTAAATTCCCTCTAACTGTAATATCTAGCATAGTTTCTATTTTAAAGTCATAATTTGGTATCTAATAGCTCTGAGGACCGGAGTAAGTGATGTCCCACTTAAGAAACTCTTTTAAACTAGAGTGCAATAGAGAGTAATAGTATAAACAGAACCTAAATTGGTGTTTCCCAATTATTTTCTTGGGGATGCTACTGCTAAGATTTCCTTGTGCAAAGTGAACTAGTCATATGGATGTAGAAACACTGTAGCAATCTAGCAAACTATTAAAGATTCAGTATATGTAAGCATAATGAAGGCAATTGGAAGCCTGGCAGGAAAGAAACCTCCTTGACCTAACATCTCCCTGCAAACTGTTCCATGAGGGAGACCATTATTTTGCAAGCCTCTGCTCCTGTCTCCTGATACACTCTAATAAAATGGCACTCTCTAGAATTCTGAAAAAGTCAGATGCTTTAAAATCTCATGACTTTTTAAAGATCACTTCATTGGGGATGTTGGGGATGGCAATAATTATTTTAATTAGTTTTCTTTATCTGTTTCATCCCTTCTTGAGTACTGAGAAAGTAGGTAGATCAACACAGAATAAGTGGTAGGAGGGACATGGCAAATGTTAGAACACCAGGGCAGTTGTAAGAAATGGACTAAAGGGGAAGAGAATATTAGAGAGGGCAAGAGCCTGCAGTCACTGTGTGTTGCATGGGAACACACATGGGTAAGGTTCGCAAGGGAGTTAGGAATTCACACTGCCTGTATAAGATGCTCAGCTGTAGTACTTCAGTGCTATAGGATTTGAATCCAATATTTTCATCTGTTTTTTTTTCATTTATATTATTTATTTACTTATCTATTTACTTTTTCATTTGTGTATTTTTTTCCCTGTATTTTAGGGAAGGGTCTACAGGGTTTTCAGGTTCTCACTACTAGATCAGACTCATAGTGATTCTCCTGTTTACAGCCTCCCAAGTGCTGGGATTACAGGAACACGCCACCTGAATAGCAGTACCAGAACACTCCCTTCTGAACCCTGAGCTTACAGGGTGATCGCCACAATGTTGGACTCCCAAGTGCACTTATGAAGGGTTTTTCCACCTGGATGGACCATACCACAGCTCTTCTTTCTATCACCAGTTTCCCAGTGAGAATTTGTGTGAGAGAAACACTTCAAGGATACTTCAAAAGTAGCACAGTAGAAAAGGAGAACAGAAGTCGCATCCTTTTTTCATGACAGATTGAGTAGAGGAAAGGAAAAAATTGATGTTTTTCAGCATGGAGCAAGTCTTTCCCATGAGGAATCCCTGGACCTGGTTGTCTCATATTGTCTGTCTCACAGGATCACAAGGGCTGCTAACTCTGGGCTAGACATAAAGCTTAGCTCTGAGCACCAAAGAATGCTCTTTTTTCCTGGCATTTTAGAGCAGATCCAGAGAAACACACTTATTGTTTTATTTAGTGTTATAGTTAGGCCAGCGGAATACATGAGCGATAACCACAATTATAATATACAAATCTTCCTTAAAATTAGTAAGTGTTTCTACAACCACATGGGATTATAGTAAGCATATTACTTTAAAAAAGAGAATTTACAGGGGAAAAAAACTTCAAATTGCAGTGTAAGTGAAGCTATGTACATATGCATATATAATGTATGATCTATGTATAATTTATATGTATACAACACCATACTTCATTGAGGTAAGAGCACAGCAAAGTTTAAAGCAAATGTCTAAATTTAATATAAGCTTTATGATACTACTTAAAGCCATTTGCTAGCATAAAGGTCTCCAACATGCTGATATAAACCTACTGATAAGTATTTAGCCTGTATTTATAGTTTTCTCTCTGGAAACTAAGCCAAAATAAACACTTAAGGCAACATTTGGAAGTGTTAGCTTATCTTACTTTATCTGCCTTCTAAATGTTATTCACAGTGACAGTTTAAAATATTGAACTGTGTTGGGCCAAGATTGGCAAATTTCTCTTGAAACCATCTTATCCTCTTATAACATTGTCTCTAATGTACAGAAAAATCAGATATTGTTCAGCAAATTTTTCTCTCAGTTTTGAAGAGTGGCCTTACTGCCTTTTGTTTCATACATGCTTACTCAAAGCTATGCGTTACAGAGCTTCAATTTTGATTTTATAGCTACACTAGTCTCAATGCTATTTTTTAATTCAGAAAATGAGAACGTGGAGAGCGTAGGTCGTCCTGCTGCAGGCTATTCCACACTGCTACTCACATCCATCGTGTCTTTGGAAAGATAAACTACCCAGTACACAAGGTTGAATCCTGCAAATGCAACTGGGAAGAGGATTCGAGAATACTGGTCTATTTTACTGGTGCCCCCAAAGGCTGGCAAGAGTGGTGGGGGTGTGACAGGTGTTGACTGTAGGTTGGGTGCTGCTGGGAGAACTTTGCTGGTCTCAGGGGCTGGGATGATTGGCAGGGTCAAGGAGGTGATCCTTTTCTTCAGGTGGTACTTGGAATCAGAACGCTGTGGAAAAGAGATACAGATGTTCAGTGAAAGTAAAAGAATGGAGATCACTAGTTAGTCACTGCCTTTTTCACCAGTGCCAACTATTTATTGGCCATTTACTGTGTGAAGTAAAACATCAAATATCTTTTAATAGCATTTGATGGTACTACTTTTCCTAAAGAGGATTAAAACATGTTTTTAAAGATGGTTTGCAGCCGGCCAAATAGCTCAGTGGACTAAAGTACCTACAAGCAGGCGCAGGAGAAGGGGGTTCAATCCCTGAGCCTGCCATGCTGGCCCCTCCCCCGGGGCACACTGAGACAGTGATTGAGACTGGGTGTGGCAGTGCAGGCCTGTAATCCTAGTTCTTGAGAGGCTATAAACAAAAGGATCACTATGAGTCTGACCTAGTAGTAAGATGCTGAACACCCTGTAGACTCTTCCCTAAAAAAATACATAAATAAGTAAATAAAGATGATTTGCTTCTGTGTTACATCCTGAAACATGCTTATGTCCCTAAACATCCTTAATTGATACTCAGCATGGACAATGTCAGGGCATGATGCAAAGGTAGAGCTATCCTATGGGTATGAATAAGCTCTGGGAAAGAGCTATGGGAAATGATGTGTTGGGAGGGAATCAATTCCAATTTGGCATTTGTGAACAGTTAGCACAAAAAAGTTCAGCTCATTGATACTATTTTTCTAGAAACATTGCTAGCTTCTTTCTTTATTTTCATACATTCTTCAATTTAAAGAAGTTAAAATTTATGAAAATGAACTAATGTATATTATAGGCACCAGAGGCCAAGCATAAAAGAAAGCCTTAAATTGAGTGAGACGGCTGCGCAGGCCTTGAGACACATCTGCCTCTTCTCCCTGAAGTGTTGCTTTGAAAGCCTTCTACTTCCCATTCAGAACTTCTCCGCTAACCTGTTCTCTGTCTTGCGACCCTTAAGTGATCTCTTCCCTAACCATAGAATTGTTGCACAGAATTTTTGGCATTAGATTTGCTGCTTACTGACGTCATAAAATAATCTGGTTAACTCTTGAAAGATATGTTTTGACACATCAATTGACCAGTGAGATGGCTAGGTTTCAGAGAAGGAAAATGCCTTGCTTCTGGTCACTCTGCTTCCTGTAAGGTCCAGGAGTCCATGCTGATTCATCCCAACATGCTGTCATCTGTAACATGCTGAGCCTCGTTCAGAAATGCATTCTATCCGATTTTGGTTCCTTTCATGCTCCTGGGGTCTACAGCCCTCTCTGATTTTTCTCTTTTCTTGTCTAAAACCTACCACAGTCTCTCTCTCCTCCAGGTCAAGTTGTCTTGCTGGGTCACCACTTTCCAACACTTGCTGTAAATTACCCCTGATCTTGTAAAAATGACCTTATTTCCTCCCTGGAAGGAGAATCACTACTTTGCTTCCTGGCAGGGCATGCTCCTCATGTGGGTATTCTCCCAAGGCATTAGCCAGCAACCCTGCTGCAACAAGATGAGACAGCCCACCTCCCCTGCACAGGCTGAGCTGCGGGACCAGAATGACCTGCTGATGTGGTGACATTTGGGCTGCAGGAACAACCCCAACAATTGTTCTTCCGGTTTTCCCTTCTGAATTTTGCTGTTTAAGTTGCCCTGGAAGTGTCTGAGTATCTAAATAATAAAAGGCATCATACAGACTCAATCTTGGTGCATTTTGAGACACCATAGTAAATTCTGTCTCTGCATCCAAAGTGGAAGTGGATTTGTGGATCAAGCCTGCTGTGACATAAGCATGGAGAATTTCATGCCAGGAAAATCTTACCTATTACCTTAGTAATTTGGAAGGTACTCTGAGCAGAATTAAATACGTAGCTTTGACAGTTAGAAGAGAATTTAAAATAATAGAAGGTCATGTCTGTTCACCCTGGACAGAAGATAAGTGACTCTATTAAAAATATGTGACAGCTGAGGACTAAATCCCTGGGCTTACCTGCGCAGGTTGAACTAGAATAATGATGTTGGTCTCACTTCATGCTGCCGCTTTGAGGGAATAAGCTTACTACTGTCTTCCTTTGTATCATGTTTCTTAACTCTAATTTGATTTTTTTTTATCCACTACATATGTTAGTAAAATATTCTCTACCTAAAAGGCCAGGATGTGTCACTCCTCGATCCTCTAAACAACACTCATCCTTTGGATCATTAAAATTCTTTCCGCTCAACATACCTAAAGATCCTGACGGAATGGGAAATGGACGAGCCTTCAGCAAATGCTCCCTCTCCAGGCCCGCCTGGCCCTTTATTCATATGTGCTACCTGGGTAAAAACTGCATTTCTTTTTCATGTTAGGCACCCTTGCCTGGTTTACTGGGATGAGGCAGTAACTGTAAAACTAAGCAATACATGAATATAGAGCATGTCTTTCTGCCTCAAAGAGAGACAGGGCAGAGGAACTGCTTCTGAATCTTGGCATCGTCAGAAAGAACTTAATGAGGACCACTAAATAACCCTGGTCTACAGATAAGAGTCATCATTGAGAAGAAGTGCCATGAAATATTTAAATAAAAAGGCACTAGGTTGGAGTTAAAGGCATTCCAACTGGGTTACTCCTTTCCTCACTTAGTGCCCCAGGCTCCATTGCCCAGACTTTAAGAGAACAGAAGAGGAGAGACAGAAATCCCCAACGTACAGTTCCATGTCTGCTACATCCTGTGGTGTGATTTAGACATGAAAGATAGTAGAAATTCTTATTCTCCAGAAACATCAAGATTTTTATCTTTAAAATTATGGATAATTAATATTTTCCCCATAAATTTTTTCCTCATGTTTTCAACTAATCTCTTGTTTTCTGCAATGTATGCATTCTTTGCACTCTCACTACACAAGTTTCACTCGTGTAAAAGATGCTCCATCTTTCTTTATCTTCATTTCTCTTGATAGCAAACTTATATGCCACCTGATAGCAACAATTTTGTCTGTCTGTATGCGCTTTTATGCAAACTTGCTAGGATAGCTGATGTGGCTATTATAACACTTTCCCAGGTATAATTATGTCTGTTGTGCTTTATCTCCTTTCCTAATGTGAAATCTGCTTTTTGATAGAGGGAATATGACTTTCACTTTGAGTATTCCATGCTGCCTAGTCAGTTCACTGAACATAGTTTATTCTTAATAAGTAGGGTTGGTCAACATGTCAATGAAAATCTAAATACTTCTAGGATTTTTTGGAGGAAGACAGAATGGGAGGGGGGTAAAAAGATTCAATAATATTGCATTATATTTTAATATATCATTTAGTATTACATTATATCATTCATATTTATATATATGCATAATTACATTTTGTCATTTCATATTATTATATTTTAAGATATCATTTGGCATTATATTTTGCGATAGCATTATATTATCTCCTAGGTATACTTTCTGTGTTGGTAAGTCATACAAAGAATTTGTATGCATATTTTCACTTATTATTTGAAGTCATTCATAAAGTCACATTCGTTTTAAAAGAGAACAAATGCAAACTAAAGTAGGAAGTTCATAGAGGTAGCAAGAGATAAATGTTCTAGGATGCCAAAGACCATGCTCTTAGCAACGCTCATCCTATTCTTCCCATTATCTTAGGGCTTGTTCTATCAAACTCAGGGTTACTGACACTTGGACTTGGCTCCTGCTTTATTGTGGAAGCCTTCTGGGTGTATCCAGGGATGCTGAACAATCCAACCTCTTCCCACAAGATACCAGAAGCATCTTACACTCCAAGTTGTAACAGCCAGATGTATTTCGAGACCTTGTCCAATCTCCTTTAAGTAAAAAATAGCAGCCTACTATGATTGTCTTTTACAGGTACAGTTGTTCCACTGCCTGCTAGTTGTTTTAGGGGATTTTTAGGCAGCAACAAATAGGATATGCTAAACAAAATACAAGAGTCCTGGCCACTGTTTACATTGGATAATCAGCTGCTGGATAACTGAGAATTGGCAGTTTGAAAAGCCTGGATACCAATTTAGAAGGAATACGTTGAATTTCTAAAATTAAGAGAAAGCCAATTTTATAAGCTATGTAAGCTACAGGTCTACATTAGACCCGCCTGCTCTATTGTAAGCCGGGCAGCTTCAGTTGATGGTAAAATAGGCTTTTGTCAGAGTCCAGATGAGGGCTCAGCTTGGGGCTGTCACTGTTTTGAGTGGAACGCCTGTGGTTCTGAATTTTTCCACAGCTCCCCTGCTGCTGAGTGCCATCCTGTCTTGGGTATTTTTAGAGCACCTCTTTGTTTTAAGTAATGTCATATTGCAAAGGTACTTTGAATCAAAGTGAGCTATATGACAATCAATTATTTGATGTAGAGATAAGTCATTAGAGAAACATTTAGAGTACTTTTCAGTCTAACATTTTTTAAGAGTATAGAGTAATTGGTGACTCTTCACTGAAATATTTTAGCCAGAGCTGGGTTATTGCATGGACAAAGCAATTGTTTATAATACCGGAATTAGCAGCTCCAAAACTGAAAGATAGTGATTCTTTTTACAATATTCAAAATTTGATATGTTACTAAGATCAGCAGCGTCACAGTAAGCATTACAGGGAAAATCAGAACTCTATTGTACTTTTTTTGTATTCATATTACCGCTAATAAGAATTGAGAACAGAGACAACCTCAGAATTTCTACAGAGGAACAGCTTCTTGGCATCGGTCTGATGCTTCTGCAGTACTACAGGAAACTACACTAGTGTTTGAAAGGTGCAGAATAGAGCACCAGGTGGAGATTTAATTAAATGTACAGAGAAAGAGCTGCCCAGCTACGCTCTTCATCTAAGTCACTTCATTGTTTTCATCAATCCCACAAAGGCACAGTCATGGAAGAGGGCATCATGTTTTTCTGGTCCTTAGAGGCTGATATGTTCAACTTAACATTTAATTTCAGTAAACGATGGGAGTAGTCAAAGGAAATCTTCACAAAACTTGGAACAAAAAACTTAAGCTTTCAATAGTTTAACCATCACATCACTGTGGAGGTGAATGGAGCTCAGAA